GGATTACAGGCATGAGCCACTGCGCCCGACCTGAAATACCTATTTCTGAATATCTGTATCAATATATCTGTGTCTATTTTTATATCCATATCTGTGTGGAAAGATATCTAGATCTAAAAGGAATGCAGTGACTGCCTGGAGGAATAGAGAGATAAGACAAACTTGGTGGCTAGGAGACAAGAATGAGAGACATTTTCATGTAAATAAACCATTTGCATAACTGTAAAATTTTGTACCTGTCAAGCATAAGCAAGGCCTAACAGTTACAGCCTGTAAAGAAACAATGAGCCTTTTTGAGATTCAGACAGTATATGACTTCCATAGACAGTGCAAGGAAAAGCAACCAAAGGTACTGGTTTCCTGTGGCCCTTGCTCAAGATGACTCTGAAACAGAGGCCAGATGACCACAACCCAAGGGACAGGATACCCTGTGGCTGAGGAGCCACATGCTGCAGCAAAGCAGTTTTATAGCTTGAAGCTGTGCCTGCCTGTAGTCTCAGCTCCTTGGGAGGCTGAGGCCGAAGGATCCCTTGAGCCCGGGATGTTCGCTTGAGCCTGGGATGTTGAGGCTGCTGTGCTGCTGGACTCCAGCCTGGGTGCCAGAGTGAGACCCTGTCTCAAAAAATAAAAACGAGGCTGTGCCGTAAGGGCAGCATGTGTGTAGGGGAGGAGGCAGAAAGCCTCCCATCTCATCAGAACTGGAGGTGAAGAGAAGTGTCTCGTGACAGCCTCCTAGGGGGAGACAGGCAGGCAAGTGGGCAGTGGCCTGGTAGTAGCTCCTCACCAGCCTCCCACACTCATGAATCCCGAAGCATTTCATTCCTATAAAGACTTCAGTCAGCTGCAGCTCAAGCTTTGCCCATGTGCAAGGTTGCCAGCGATCACCATGGCAGAACTGTTCCCCTGCAGTGGCATGTGCACTTGTTACCTAGTCAGAAAGTGGATTTAATTTGATTTTTCCAAAGGAGGAAATCCTCTTAAAAGCAGTCCCAAGATGAGTCACTACTGCTCACTGAGGCCAGCTCTCTGCCACCATGGTGCCACAGTTCCTTGCCACCCAAACTTCTTGCAGTTTCTCAGATTTTCCCAATATAATGCCTTCCCTCCATTCCTCAGATATGACAAGACTGCTTCTCATTAATTATAAAAAGGGAAGGATGAAACCTAATTTTACAGATTAAAAACAAACAAAAATTAGACCAAGAAAAACAATGAGACTTTGCCAAGATCATGGACACTTCGTGATGGAGCCAGTGTTTGAAGCTAGAGCTCCCAGCTCCTCATACATCCAACAGATGTTTTAACACTAACCGTGAGCTAGGCCCAGGGAACAGCCATGAACACACCATGAATAAGACACAGTCCTGCCCTCTTGGAGCTTATATAGTCTGTTGAGATTCCACATCCATCACATCTTGGATGAAACTAACTCTGTCCCTTAGTTTGAACTTTTGAAATAATCCTTGCTTTAAAACAAACAGAAAACAAGCAGCAAAAAGTGAGGGCAGCAGATCAGGTGGAATGTACGGGGCTAGAAGCAGACAGCCAAGTCCTGATTTTACTTTTGCTATCTGTGTGACTTTGAGAAAATTACTTACTCTAATTTCAGTTTTGACATCTGAATAATCTCCAGCTTCACTGACCCAGATGTTACATTTATATATATAGTTGGCCCTCTGTATCTGTGAGTTCCACATTCACGGAGTCAACCAACTGTGGATCAAAAATCTTTGAAAAAGAGGCTGGGCACGGTGGCTCACACCTGTAACCCCAACACTTTGGGAGAATCACTTGAGCCCAGAAGTTTGAGACCAGCCAGGGCAACATAACAAGACCGCATAACTACAAAAAATTTAAAAAAAAAAAATCAGCAGGGTATGGTGGTACATGCCTGTAGTCCTAGCTACTTGGGAGGCTGACGCAGGAGGATCACTTGAGCTCAGGAGTTTGAGGCTGCAGTGAGCTGTGGTCGCTGCAGTGAGCTTTGATTGCGTCACTGCACTGTATCCTGGGTGACAGAGTGAGACTGTTAAAAAAAAAAAAAAAATTGAAAAAGAACAAAAAGGATGGTTGCAGCTTGTGCAGAATTTTTTTCTTCTTATGATTCCCTAAACAATACAGTATAGGCCGGGCGCAGTGGCTCAACGCCTGTAATCCCGGCACTTTGGGAGGCTGAGGCCTGATCACGAGGTCAGGAGATCAAGACCATCCTGGCTAACATGGTGAAACCCCACCTCTACTAAAAATACAAAAAATTAGCTGGGTGTGGTGGCAGGCACCTGTAGTCTCAGCTACTTGGGAGACTGAGGCAAGAGAATGGCATGAACCTGGGAGGCGGAGCTTGCAGTGAGCAGAGACCGTGCACCACTGTACTCCAGCGTGGGTGACAGAGTGAGACTCTGTCTCAAAAAAAAAAAAAAAAAACCACACCAAAAAAATACAGTATAACAAGTATTTACATAGTGTTTATAGCATTTATATTGTATTAGGTGTTATAAGCGATCTAGAGATGGTTGTAAGTATGCAGGAGGATATGTGCAGCTTATTTGTAAATATACCCTTTTATATCAGGGACTGTGCATTCACAGATTTTGGTATCCACAAGAGTCATAGAGCCAATCCCTGATAGCTACTGAGGGATGACTGTATATAAAAGTCATTGATTGGGAGGCCGAGGTGGGTGGATCATGAGGTCAAGAGTTTGAGACCAGCCTGATCAATATGGTGAAACCCCGTCTCTACTAAAAATATAAAAATTATCCGGGCGTGGTGGTGCGCACCTGTAATCCCAGCTACTCAAGAGGCTAAGACGGGAGAATTGCTTGAATCCAGGAGGTGGAGGTTGCAGTGAGCCGAGATTGCGCCACAGCCCTCCAGCCTGGGCAACAGAGTGGGACTCTGTCTCAAACAAACAAACAAACAAAAGTCATTGAAAGAGAAAGATATATAATAGGGATAGCTGTGTTGATAGTTAATTAGCAGTTTGCACATTTGCCATGAGGTAATCAGTTTTGTGTGTGTACTTTTTTCTGTTTTACAGATCGCTTGACAATATCTTATTGTCGGAGTAGTGGTCCTGGGGGGCAGAATGTGAACAAAGGTACGGGGTGCCTTGTTGCTTTCTTTTGCTTTAAAATGTAGCTGGGAGGTGGGCTTGAGGAACTCTGCGTTTATGTTCATATGGAATAAAGGGATTTTTCAGCAGAAGCTTTAATACTGCCAGCTTATAATAATCCTCTCTATTCTTTTGAATGTGGTCTGATTCTCAGACATTCAGCTGTGGGTTGCTAGGACTAGGATCGGCTTGTGAGTTTAAACAAAGAGAAATCGCAGTGTGAGGTGGCAGCTAGCTCCAAGAACAGGTTTCCTTCATTCTGGTGCAACTCGTTCCCTCCATTTTTTTTTCAACCCAGTAAAACTGTAAGAGAAGCACTGGGTGCTTAGTTACCGGAAGTCTATTTTTGCCCAAGAGTGCCTCACTGTCTTTGCAGACTTGTTCATAGCCAACTTGGACATAGGCTAGAATGTACATGGTTAGGTCTCTGGCCTCCCTTTGTTTCAGGATGGTCACTGGTCACCCAGGGGTTGATCCTTCCTGGAAGTCTCAGGCACCCATGCTCCCTTCTCCCTTTCATCCACAGTGAATTCCAAGGCGGAAGTCAGGTTCCATTTGGCAACTGCCGACTGGATCGCAGAGCCTGTGCGGCAGAAGATAGCCATCATGGTAACCACCATTCCTTTCTTTCCCTAGAAATCCCTCAGTGGCTTTTAAACCTTTACTCTGTAGGACTCCAGTTTTTCCTTTGTCTTCTGCAGCATAAAAACAAGATCAACAGGTTAGGAGAGTTGATCCTCACCTCTGAGAGCAGCCGCTATCAGTTCCGGAATCTGGCAGACTGCCTGCAGAAAATTCGAGACATGATCGCTGAGGCCAGCGAGACACCCAAGGAGCCAACAAAAGAAGATGTTAAACTTCAGAGAATCAGGTACCAGGAAATGCCCTAAGTTGCTATAAACTGATTTGTGTGGACAAGAGTCTACACAGGTAAGGAAGGGGCAGGGGAGAGTCCAAGGCCGGCCATGGGAGAAGCTCTAGGAAGAGGAGGATGCTGACCTGGGACGGAGGCCTGCGGGCTAGTGCCTGCTGGTATAACTGCTCGGCTTCCCGGCTTCCCGTTGAGCTTCCAACTCCTCTTGCCACTTTGAAAAGCACTGATTGAGCATCTGGGCCTAATTGCAGTCTTTTTGTTTTCAGGATAGAAAACATGAATCGGGAAAGGCTGAGACAAAAGAGAATTCATTCTGCTGTAAAGACAAGCAGGAGAGTTGACATGGACTGAAATCACCCTCTGCAGCTGGGAGGGCTCGTCTGGGTGTCAGGGCAAGTGCAGCTGAGAGGCCTTTCACACCATAAAGAGATTTCCTTTTTTCTTTTTGGCTGTTAATGCTTGTCTATAACATTGGAGCCATCACAAGAATGTTAATTTGGAATGAAGGTTACAGGCACTGGTTGCAAAAGTCTTTATAGGCAGTCACCATATTGTCAAACCTTAATAATGCATCTAATGTGTTAGCCACAATAAAATTCAAAACTCATTAGGTTTCCCTTCTCATTCAGAATGCTTCAGGAAACAATTTCTACCTTTTCTCTCAGTTAAATCAGCTGCACAGTTATTGACACAGCACTGGGGAACAGGAAAGGGTTCTGGTGTCTGCTGTGAAAGAACACACAGGCCAGGCATGGTGGCTCATGCCTGTAATCTAAACACTTTGGAAGCCAAGGCAGGAGGATCACACGAGGTCAGGAGTTCAAAACCAGCCCGAGCAACATAGGGAGATCTAATCTCTACAAGAACTACAAAAATTAGCCAGGCGTGGTGACACATGTCCATAGTCCCAGCAACTCGGGAGGCCAAGGCAAGAGGATCACTTTGAGCCCCCAGGAGTTCAAGGTTGCAGTGAACCATAATTGAACCACTGCACTTAAGCCTGAGCGACAGAGCAAGACTGTGTCTCACCCAAAAAAAAAAAAAAAGAAACTGCCTTGGTGGCTCACACCTGTAATCCCAGCACTTTGAGAGGCTGAGGTCAGTGGATCGCCTGAGGTCAGGAGTTCAAGACCAGCCTGGCCAACATGGTGAAACCCTGTCTCTACTAAAATAGGTGCTGGGTACCTGTAATCCCAGCTACTCAGGGGTCGAGGCCGAATTGCTTGAACCCAGGAGGCAGAGGTTGCAGTGAGCCAACATCACGCCACTGCACTCCAGCCTGGCGACAGAACCAGACTCCGTGTCAAAAACAAAACAAACAAACAAAAAAACCACCACACACACAACCAGGTAGGAGGGCTGAGACAGGTAAGTGGGCATTTGAGCTGGGCTATGGAAAAGGCATAGGACTTTCATCAGTAGAGGGAGGAGGACATGCCATTTGAAGGGAATAGTTTGAACACAGGAGACTGAAGAAGCTGAGGTGGAGGGGGTGACAAAGAAGGCAGAAGCACTGAATGGTGGATTCATGCAGGGTGATCCACCATTGCAGTGGGAGGTGAGCCTGGAGAGAGACCAGCTTGATGTGGAGAGCCTTGAATTCAAGTTAAGGAGTTTAGGTTTTTTTATTTTGAGATGGAGTCTTGCTCTGTTACCCAGGCTGGAGTGCAATAGCGTGATCTTGGCTCACTGCAACCTCCTTCGCCCAGGTTAAAGTGATTCTCCTGCCTCAGCCTCCCCAGTAGCTGGGGTTACAGGTGCATGCCACCATGCACAGTTAATTTTTGTATTTTTGTAGAGATGGGGTTTCACCATGTTGGCCAGGCTGGTCTTGAACTCCTGACCTCAGGTGATCCACCCACTTCGGCCTCCCAAAGTGCTGGGATCACAGGCATGAACCACTGCGCCCAGCCAAGGGGTTTAGGTTTTAAGAGACGTGGGTAACAGAAAGCAGTTGGGAGAAAAGCTGTGTTGGAAGAGAAGCTGAGGCAGCGCTTGCTTGTCAGCTAGACTTGCTGGCTCCTTGCTTCTAGCACTCCCATTATCTCAAGTAGTCATATGTTATATGTTTCTCAATCACTTGATACACTGTTTCCTTTCAACCCCCACATCCTCACCACCTGTTTCTTTGAGCACCAATAAATACTGTGGGCTCCCAGAGATCAGGGCCTTCACAGCCTCCACACGATGGCCTCCTGGTCCCACTTTCTCTCTCAAACTCGTCTTTTTCTAATTCCTTTGACTCTGCCAGACTTTGTTGCCCCCATGACCTGGTGTTGGGTCTGATCACCCCAACATTCCCAACGTGAGGTGACAAAGACCCTGGTGAAGGAACGCTAGAGCGTGTGAAAGCGGGGGATGCATGGTCAAAGGACATCCGAGGGCGTCTAAACAAAGCTCGACAGGAAAGCTGAGTGCTCAGAAGAACTAGGGTAACAATGGGATAAAGTGAAAGCAGATATTCTGCTTATTTAAATTTCGTAAGGCGTTTATTACGAAGAGGGGGAGTGAAAGTTAGTACTCAGAATTTGTTATCACTCTTTAGTACAGTAAAGCAGTTTTGCCCATGATTTCCGAAACAAGGGACTATGGAGTTAGATGAATGGCAGAGAATTGGCAGAGATTTTTAAAAGGCGTATAAAGAAGGAGCAGAAATTGGAGTTTCTGTTTGGTCAGTGTGGGCGCTAATAAAGGCAGCTCTGGCCGGGCGCGGTGGCTCAAGCCTGTAATCCCAGCACTTTGGGAGGCCGAGGCGGGTGGATCACGAGGTCAGGAAATCGAGACCATCCTGGCTAACATGGTGAAACCCCGTCTCTACTAAAAATACAAAAAACTAGCCGGGCGTGGTGGCGGGCGCCTGTAGTCCCAGCTACTCGGAGGCTGAGGCAGGAGAATGGCGTGAACCTGGGAGGCAGAGCTTGCAGTGAGCCGAGATCGCGCCACTGCACTCCAGCCTGGGTGACACAGCGCGAGACTCCGTCTCAAAAAAAAAAAAAAAAAAAAAGGCAGCTCTTCAGCCATTTCAAAGAGATGATGAGGCAGATTCAGAGGAGGACGAGTGTAAAAAACTAACTTCAGATTCTGAGTGTGAGGAACAGCTACCGGAGGAGATTAAAGAAAGGAAAACTAAAAAAATTATGTTCTATTAGCCTGTCAGCTCCACCTGCTGAATTAAGTGAATGGCCACCTCCTCTCTCTCCAAATGGGTGAGAAGATGAATTAGCTGAAAAACTTACTGCTTCTGAAGTTGCAACATTAAAACCTGGAGCAACTGGTGGTGCTATACAAAGTTATATTCAAAAAGCTAGAGCGGAGGGAGACTTGAAGCATGGCAATTTCCTGTTACTATCATCCAGCAGAGAGGACAGAATACAGCTAATTGGCCACTTTTCCTTTTAAGTTACTAACCAAATTTAAGCAAGCCGTTAGTCAATACGGACCGAACTCTCCTTTTGTGCAAACTCTATTAAAAAATATGGCTCTTGATAGTAGATTAATACCATGTGGCTGGGATACTTTGATAAAATCTGTTCTCACTCCATCTCGGTATTTGCAGTTTAAAACCTGGTAGGCTGATGAAGCTCAAACTCAGGTAAGGGAAAACATACAAGCACAGCCACCTGTGCCTGCTTCCTTTGAACAGTTAATGGGACTTGGCCCTAATTGGGGTCGATTAGAGAATCAAGCAGTAATGGAGGATGTTGCCATTGTTCAGCTGTGCTTTGTGTGCTTACCAGCATGAGAAAGGATAAATGTTACAGGGGAAAAATATCCTTATGTCAGTTCTGTCTGACAAGGACCCAAAGAACTGTATATTGATTTTATTACTCCACTCCAAGAGGCTGTGTATAAAGCCATAACTGATAAAACGGCTCAGGATGTAATACAGCTTCTTGCATATGATAATACTGATGCAGAGTGTCAAACTGCTATTAGACCCCAGAGAGGGAAGCCTTATTTAGCTAAATATATTAAGACTTGCATTGGCATTGGAGGTAACTTACATAAGGCTACTCTTTTAGCTCAGGCTATGGCTGGATTAAGAGTAGGAAAGAATATGCCCCGTTTCTCAGACTCTTGCTTTAATTGTGGGCAATTTGGACACACAAGAAAGGAATGCAGAAAAGGAAATCAAAAGCAAACATTTCTACCATCAGTCAACAGAAAAGTCCCGGCATATGTCCCTGGTGTAAGAAAGGCAAAAACTGGGCAAGACAATGTCATTCTAAATTTAGCAATGATGGACAACCTCTTTCGGGAAACGGGGAATAGGGGCCTGCCTTGAGCCCCTCAACAAACTGAGGCATACCCGGCACAGCCAGTGCCCTGTGCAACAACTGTCCCCTGCCTCAGCAGGCAGTGTGGCCATAGACCTCTACAGCACAATTCCTGTCTCCTTATGAGAGGTGAAGCCGGCTGGGCTTCTGAATCAGGTGGGGACTTGGGGAACTTTTCTGTCTAGCTAAAGGATTGTAAACACACCAATCAGCACTCTGTGTCTAGCTAAAGGTTTGTAAACGCACCAATGAGCACTCTGTAAAGTGGACCAATCAGCAAGATGTGAGTGGGGCCAAATAAGGGAATAAAAGCTGGCCACCCGAGCCAGCAGCAGCAACCTGCTTGGGTCCCCTTTCATGCTGCGGAAGGTCTATTCTTTCGCTCTTCACAATAAATGCTGCTGCTCACTCTTTGGGTCCGCACTACTCTTATGAGCTGTAACACTCACTGCGAGGGTCTGCGGCTTCATTCCTGAAGTCAGCGAGACCACGAACCCACCAGGAGGAACAAACAACTCTGGACACGCCACCTTTAAGAGCTGTAACACTCACTGCGAAGGTCTGTGTCTTCACTCCTGAAGTCAGCGAGACCACAAACCCACTGGAAGGAAGAAACTCCGGACACATCTGAACATCTGAAGAAACAAACTCCAGACACACCATCTTTAAGAACTGTAACACCACGAGGGTCCGTGGCTTCATTCTTGAAGTCAGCAAGATCAAGAACCCACCAGAAGGAACCAATTCCAGACACACTTCCTGGGGAGCCACCAAAGAAGGTCCCCATGGGAGTTAGGGGACCCTTATCCTCAGGAACAGTCGGTCTATGACTTGGAAGGTCTAGTCTAAATTTAAAAGGTATGCCAGGCACGGTGGCTCACGCCTGTAATCCCAGCACTTTGGGAGGCCAAGGCAGGCAGATCACGAGGTCAGGAGATCAAGATCATCCTGGCTAACATGGTGAAACCCATCTCTACTAAAAAATACAAAACAACAACAACAACAAAAAATAGCCGGGCGTTGTGGTGGGCGCCTGTAGTCCTAGCTAGTCGAGAGGCTGAGGCAGGAGAATGGCATGAACCTGGGAGGTGGAGCTTGCAGTAAGCCAAGATTGAGCCACTCACTGTACTCCAGCCTGGGAGACAAAGTGAGATTCCGTCTCAAAAAAAAAAAAAAAAATTTAAAAGGTGTTACTGTACATACGGGAATAATTGACTCTGATTATACCAGAAAAATTCAATTAGTTATTAGTCCCTTGACTCCATGGTCTGCCTCCCCAGGAGAAAGAATTGCTCAGTTGTTACTGTTACCTTACATAAAACTAGGAGGC